GGTTCATGGGTTGATGTTCAACCACTGAGGCACACTGTCCAGGGTGTCCATTTCTTTTAAAAGTGAACTTGTCTCTTCCACTTCCTGAGCCTTACCGAATCCCTCCACTCACTGACCAATCTCCAAATACATTTTAGCCAAAAGTAGCCAACTCATTCTTCATTACCAGAAACTTATAAGCTCTTTGAATCTCTTCCTGGTTCCATTTGATCATTCACTTTATGCTTATAAGAGGCTGACAGTTTATCTCTGGATTTCAATTTTCTATGCTTTGTCCCTTTTCATGTCTCCCCCAACACACTATCTCTTCCAGAAAGTCTTCCCAACTCAGCAAAGTGGTAAGACTTACATCTCGTTCAATGCACTGGATCCGTTTATCGAAACCAATGAATACATCCACTTGTCGTGGCTGTGTCAATGAGTTCCTTCCTAAGAGTCTCAGAGGTTGAAAGCATGGCTCTTAGGTTCTATGACTGCTCATTCTAACCTCTGGTACTCAGACAAGTGTTCACTAACTATGCCACCTCATAACATCGCCCTGGAAATTCAAGTTAATTCTAGACTCTACCAAGAGGTCTCTTAAAAATATCTTTTAATTATTAGATATTAAATAATAATGGTATCTAATACAACTTTGACTTTTCCCAATTTGGGGTTGGCAAGTTCCAATATATGAACAAATGTAGACCCAATACCAGGAAAAACTGACATGGTAATAGCACCAATGTTCTTGGCTGTCTTCCCTTTAACATACTGCTCCCCTCTCCCATCTCACCCCTTATCCTATAATTAAAGGAACATCAGCTGGCTACACAGAGCAGATGAGGGAGAATAAAACTAACATCTGCCAAGGCTAGTCAACTTGACCTAATCCAAAACAATTCTATGAGATAGGTTCTAACATCCCATTTTTATAGTGGGCAAACTTATGCTCAGTGAGATTAAATGGCACAGAAGTGACTTTAAAAACTTCTCTGCTTGGTCCCAATGTTCCTTCTACTAGACCACACTACTCCTGACCAAACAACAGATGTTTCTCTACTTAGAAACATTATTTAGGATTACAGATATTTAGTTACTCATTTCATTTTACTAAACTACTCTATAAGCTCCCTAGGCTAAAAACACATAAGTAGAAAAAACAATGGGACTTTGCCATTAAAATATCAGACCAGAGTTCAAATCCCAGCTCTATTACTGACTAGTTGTATTCCCTTAAGCCAGTAACTCATCCCCTGTTGTTAGAATTAAATGAGATGTCTATCAATTGCTAGTTCAGAGGGTGGCATGAGAAAATACTAGTTACCACACTACTTATTAGCCATATAACTTTGAACAAGTCACTTAAATGGGTAAGACTATTTTTTCATCTGTTAAAAGAAAAAGAATACACCCTAAAGCTCACACAATGTGGTTGTTAGGATGAAATGATATATCATAAAAAAAAAAAAAAAAAAAAAAAAAAAAATATGGAAAGAAATGAGATGTCAAAGTTCTCTGTAAACTTTAGCACTGAAAAACATTAAGGTATGATCCCCAGCAGAGCTTACCACAATGCCTTGCATTAGAGATTTCAGTAAATATTTGATAAATGCTACGTAAGAGAACTCTGTTCATGTTGGCATGCCCCTAAATCATCTTTTGAGAGCACTATCAACCCATGCGCAATCTATCCCCAGAGAACAAGGAGAGTCCATTCAAAGGACCCTAAGAATCACCTTAATTCACCCAACCATGAGGACCCTAGGGCTCTCATCCTCAAGCAATATTTAAGCTTTCCTCATGACAGAGTAAACTAATAAGCTATATGGCAAATAAACTGAACCTCACTTATGATTGGCTTTGGTGTGCTTTTGTACTTTTATTTAAATGCTTTTGTCTTATAGTCAGAAAATTTGGAACATTTTAAGAGGTACAATGTTACTGTGGAGAAGATAAAAGTGATATTCAAAACTTCCGTTACTGTGGAGAAAATGATATTCAAAACTTCCACCTTCTGCAACTCCACTGTCCTCTTCCAAGCTTCCTCTTACATCCCACTGCTGTGGATAGACATAGGACTTCTTAGCCTGCAGTGAACTGCCAATAGAAAGCAAAACAGGCTCATCTCCAATTGCTAGTTCATACCTTCTCTAGTTGGGCTGGAATTTAGTATTTCCTTTAAAAGGCCTTCTCTTCCATTTCCTGCTGGGTCGGAGTAAACAAATATACAGTTTATATCAACAGGTTTAATTAAACAGAGCAATTACTACGTCAGCAAGATGAGCCAACATGTGATGGATCTTCCACTGGAAGTGGAAGTCACAGGTAGTGCTCCCCTAGACTATGAGCATCAACAGTTTTCTTTCAGGGGTCTCAGGGCACTTTAGTTCTCGTCTACCATGCTTAAACAATCCTCTATTTAAAAAAACCCAAAATCCATACGCTTAAATGAGATGGACTTTTCATGTCATCTAAGCAACATGTTAACAGCTGCCCAGATTAGCTGTTTTCACAGTAACAGCCCAGCAGGCTCTTCTAATCCTAACTAAATTCAAGAAGGAATCACAAAACAGCTTCAAAGGTTGGTTTCAAGGGGACGCCAATATAGCTTACTCATAAACATTTCTACAAATGGAAGAATTAGAAAGAAATCCAAAAACAACCCTCCAACTTAATTTTAGTTTTTAGTTTCTGACTTTTCTTCCCAGCAACTATTTTCAAGACTTGGCAAGCAGGCTACAATGTAAGGAAAGTAAAGATTTATGGTATTCCTCAATCTATTACTTCCCATTTCTTTCTTGAATGAGTAGCTAAACGATTAGTTTACAACAATGCTAGTAAACAACTAAAACTGACCAGCAGAAAGCAAAATCATAAAAGCAAAGATAATCCACAAACTCAATAACCACAAACTACCGAGTGGGGCAAAAATAAGTTTACAGTTATAAGTATGCGAAACAGAGTTTATTCTTGTATTATTATTATTTTAATCGGGAGATTGGACAGTTTATTTACTTATAAGTAAATAAATATTTTTTAAGATTGATTTCAGAAAGGAAGGGCGAGGGAGAGATTGAAACATCAATGATGAGAGAGAATTATTGATCGGCTGTCTCCTGCACACCCCACATGGGGGATGGAGCCAGGAATCAAACTGTGGCCTCCTGGTTCATAGTTCAATGCTCAACCACTGAGCCATGCCAGCCAGGCATATTATTATTTATTAACTACTGTATTATTTTCCACAAGAACAACTGTAAAACTACTTCTGCTCCACCCTGTATTGATAGTTGAGGTTAAATATACGAGAACTTCTTAACAATCCTACCCATACCACTCCAAGCCCTCTCAGATAATTGGTGGCACTTTAGGTCACAGAGCGGAAAATAGTATCTTGTAAATGTGAAAAAATCATCTCTCACGTAATCTTTCCTCTACTAATCACTAAAGGTCCATTTATTTAGTGACAGACTTCATATACCATATAAATAAATACTAAAGAATAATTTAGAGCCTATTTCTCTCAACATACTAGGAATAAACTATTTCACTTGAATCTTTTAAAATCTCTTCTGCTAATAGAAAAACACCCAAAGAGTTCCTATACCTCACTGAACCAGGGTTTCAAAAATCGTTCTATTTCTAAGAATGGGATGTTACATATACAACAACCTTTAATATGAAACCTATGACCCTTTCGAATCTGTCCATCACTAAAAAACATGTGGTACTTCCCTGGAATTTGGAAAGGGGGCTGTTATCTGCGGTAACTAGATTCTGCTAGCCTCAGTTACCCTCTATTGTTTCAACTGCCCAAGTATTCCCTTGCTTTGTTCAATTCTTAGCAAACACACCATATTCCCAAGACAGGCAAGAGAACATACATTATTGCAAGACTCCTCTAGAGGGAAAAACTTCCACTACACCAATTCAAGAGACTTAAGGCAGCTGCTACTAAAATCAAAAGCCTAACTTATTCATTCAACAAATATTTATTAAACACCTACTCTGTGCAAGGCTCTGTATATTCAGTGATGAACAAAACAGGTATAGTTCCCATCCTGACAAAAGAAAGTTTGGTGAGATAGAAAAGTAAACAAATGGTATACAATTATAATTACAAAAAGGCCATGAATAGGCTAGCATTAGTCCCAGTGTGAACCAAAAGCAATCCCCTTTACTCTAAGAAATGTCACAGGTTGGACTCTAAAGAATATGTCACCTTAGCTTGAAGGATAAGGTACTCTGAGAGAGAATAATGGGAGCAAATCACTTGAGCCTGGGTAACCAAAGACTTCCTAGAAGAGGTGCCATGTCAGTCCTGATGGATAAGGCTCCAGACACTTTGGAAGGAGTGTTCCAGGTATAGGGGACAGCAAAGGCTACAAGTCTGGGGATAATATTATTAATCAACATGAACTTTGATAGAATTGAAGAGTCAAAAAAGTAATCTAGGGGTTCCCAGAGATCAATTTGTACATCTAAAATTAAAATATCCTAAACCTCTAATTTTGTTTAGACCTCAAAATTCAAACATAAAGACCAAAATGAAGCTCTAAAGCAGTGGTTTTCAAATTTTTATAGATCATGAATTCCTGAGGACCTGAAGAATATTCATATCTTCACCCAGGACAAACATATATATTCACGTGTGCCCACATATGCAATTTCGGGTTGCACAGGCCACACCACACCAATTTCAGAAGTTCACTCATAGACTCCAGGGTTGTTTTTTTAAAGCCCTCTTTCACAAAGACTAAAGCAAGCTCTCAACTCTATTTCTCTATTTGGGCATTAAAAATTTTTTAAAGTCTTCTGAAGACATCCAGGAATAAAACTGAACGTATTTTTTAAAAGGGTATCAGAACATGCAACTGTAAGTCAATGACAAAATAAAAAACAATGGACAGTGTGTATATTTCCAAGAGTCAATGAGACTCAATGTGTGTATTTCCAAGAGTCAATGAGACTCAATTTTCCCACCGTTTTGGAGAACCAGAACTAAGGTTAGTCCTTACCTTACTAACATTGAGTGAAGCTAGGGGAGGTGGGGTCTCTGTTCGGTCATTAATTATTTCCACTTCTGAAACATACTGTAAGTTTATGAGCAAGATGTCTGCATGGTTGGGCTTTCCACTGGAAGAGGGACATTCTGGAGAAAAAATAAAGTTAAGGAAAACAGGGGCAAGCACTGACAACATACCAAAAGGAGCATAAACAACTCAGTTCTCACAAGGCCCGTGTAAACGGTGTGCCTCAAGCAAGAGCGGGGAGCCTTACAAGAATCACAACGCTCCTCGGGAAATCTCTGCCCTCCACCTTCCTCCTGTCTACCTCATAAGATCACAAGCTTTTCGAAGCCATAAACAACTCAAAATTGGAAGCCTCAAAAGGATTTCTGTCACCTTTTGGCTACCAGTTTTATGGAGACGCATAATGCAGTTTTAATGCCCATGAATACTGTTTGTTTTGAACCCAATGAACCAGGAGAGGCAGCGCTTTCTGCTCTTGGTGTAATACTGCTTGTATCTGTACAGTACTCTTACCACTTTTCAGATTTGACATTTCTCATTTTGCAGAAGAGAAAAATATAGCATTAGAAAAGAAGCGGATTCAAAGTGACCCAGCAAGTTAAACCATTCATTCATTCATTCATTCATTCATTCTCCAACCATTTATTAAAAGCACACTCTATGCCAATTAAAAGCAGAGTAATTCGTCATTCCCAAACCCTTCCAACTAAACCACTAATGTAAAAAGTAAAAAGGTCTTATCTGGTCCAGATATAAATTCTTGTATTTAAACAAACAAACAAACAAGAAACACTCTGGCCAGATAGCTCATTTGGTTGGAGTCTCAACGGGATACACAAAGGTTGCTGGTTCAATCCCCAATCAGGACACATCCAAGAATCAGCCAATGGCCGAAACCGGTGTGGCTCAGTGGATAGGGCGTCAGCCTGTGGACTGAAAGGTCCCAGGTTCTATCCCAGTCAAGGGCATGTACCTTGGTTGCGGGCACATCCCCAGTAGGGGGTGTGCAAGAGGCAACTGATGGATGAATCTCTCTCATTGATGTTTCTAACTCTCTATCTCTCTCCCTTCCTCTCTGTAAAAAAAAATCAATAAAATATATTTAAAAAAAAGAATCAGCCAATGAATGCACCAATAAGTGGAACAACAAATCGATGTCTCTCTCCCCCACCCTTCCCCTCCTCTCTCCCTCTAAAATCGGTAACAAATCTTTTTTTATATATAACTATTTTTGCTGTATTAGTGTCAGAGGCCATCTTCCTAAGCTAGAAATCTGACTAGTGGTAAACTAATTAAAATACCTGCCACTCAAATGCAGCAGACTCAGTAGAAAACTTCCTTTTGAAAGATGCTAGTGTAAAGGATTACTCCTCAATAAAAAAATAAAAAATAAAAATCCAAATAAACCCACCTGTGGCTCAAATACAAGACAAAAGGGTGGCACGCCAAAACCGGTTTGGCTCAGTGGATAGAGCGTCGGCCTGCAGACTGAGAGGTCCCAGGTTCGAATCCGGTCAAGGGCATGTACATTGGTTGCGGGCACATCCCCAGTAGGGGGTGTGCAAGAGGCAGCTGATCGATGTTTCTAACTCTCTATCCTTCTCCCTTCCTCTCTGAAAGAAATCAATAAAACATATATTTTTAAAAAGTGGCACATTTATTACAACCAGGAAGCATTTTGTTTCCAAGACTGCATTTCCTGGAGTAATTCAGAAATCATTTCCACCCCAAGAATGCAGGCCACCTTATCCATTCTGTTTACTACTGCTCCTTTCAAAAGGGGAGAGGCGATTTCTTGGAAAAGCCCGGACTCCATGTGTGCTCGACTGAGCGAGAGCACAACTTACTCTTTCACCTGTAACCCACACATCCCTACCCACGTCCCTGAAAAATGTGTCCCTCTATCTGGACCAGTTTTCCAATGCAAACATCCCCCAAACAGCAATTTTCAAATGACTGGGAAATCTAAAATTCAGCACCCCCTTCCCCGACCGTGACACCACGCATACACACACACAAACCAGCAAAGCAAGCCCCTAGCCCCAATTTAGATCCAAACTCTGCCTTAAGGTTACTTTACCTCCAAACAGGTGAGGCCCATTGAGTCAACACCCCACCGCCTTTCCTTGGACCAAACCCATCAGCAGGCACCCCCTCCTAAACTCCATCGTCTTCCCTTGTCCTACAGCAGTTCCTTACTCTACATCCCCCTCCCCACTTGATTTTATCAGCCCTCCTTCCATCCGGGAACCCCCTCCCGCGACAAGCCCCCTCCCACGACCACCTCCTCTCCCGATCACTGTGTCCCCTCTCCCAGAGCGTCCCCACCGAAAAGCCATCCGCGTGTCAAGCCCCCCCTCCACCCACCGACCCTCGCATGGGGCCCAGCTCCCACACGGGGTGGGAGACGAGAGTCCCCAAAGAGGACCGAGGGAGCCCCGAGGGGGGGAGGGGAGCGCCGGGCCGTGCGCATGCGCTCCGGGCTCCGCCGTGGCCGGTCGCCCCTAGGCCCGGCGAGGGCCCCAGCCTCCGCCGACGTCCCCCACCCCCACCGCCACCCCACACACACACGCCGGCCCGGCCTCGGGCTCCGCGCAGGGAAGGATACTTAGAGCCAGCATTTTGGACTGGTAGTCGAAAGCTACCACCTCGCCCTGCAGCCGCTGCTCCTGGCATGTCCGGCACGACACCTGGCTCCCAACACTGAAGTACTCGCCCGGAGGAGCCGCCATCTTGGGAGAGCAGCCGCGGCCGGCGGCGGCGGCGGCGGCAGCAGCGGCGAAAGCCGGGCGCCCAGTGAGCGCCGCGACGCGACGCGCGGGACGTGCTGACATCACACGCCGGGGCGTGGCCTGGCGCTGGGTGGGGCGGGAGCCTAGGTGGGAGAGGAAGGAAGAAATAAAAGACTTGAGTAATTGTGTACAGCGGTGGTACAATGGTTGCAGGTTGCGTTTTATTATTTATTTTTAAAAAAACCTTTTTTCAGGGTCCGTTTTGGAAGTTAAAGATACATGACCTACGTGGAATGAAAAGGGGAAGGAGGAGGGAACTGCAGTCTTTCTTACAGGTACACCTCGACCCAAGAGTTTGATGAATGAACTCTGTATTTTACACGTGAGGAATCCGAGGCCCCAACGACTCCCCAGCAAACTTGCCCAAATGATTACAGTATACCTAGTTACAAAGTGGTAGTGTCAAGAATAGTCGCTATGGAATTAGCTAAATCGGAATCAAAATCCTAGGTCTGTCACTTGCTAAATTGCATGACCTTCAGCAAATTACTGACCCTACTTTTTTAATCTTCACTGGAGGATATTTTTCCCATTGCCTTTTAGAGAGAGTGGAAGGAAGGGACAAAGAGGAAAGAAGGGAGAGGGAGGGAGGGAGGGAGGAAGGGAGGGAGGGAGGGAGGGAGGGAGAGAGAGAGAGAGAGAGAGAGAGAGAGAGAGAGAGAGAGAGAGAGAGAAAGAAACAGAAAGACACATCAATGAGAGAGAGACGTGGATTGGTTGCCTCCCTCATACGCCCGACGAGGTACGTGCCCTTGGTCCGGAATGGAACCTGAGACCTTTTGGGTGTGTGAGCTAATGCTCTAACCACTGAACACCCCGGCCAGGGCTCCCACAACTTTTTAATGCATGAAACTAATGTCTTTCCAAGAAGAACCCAGGTTTGCACTCTCGTTTTCACTCATTAGAAAACTCTCCAAGAACACAGTTGCTTGAGGAAGAAAGGAACTGAGGAGTCACTTCAACAGCCTTGTGCCTCTATATGCAGGGCATTACCTACAATAGCTGAGATTTCTATTTTCTCTGTGTTCCTTCAAAAGATTATTCCAAATTCTGTCGTGTGTGTGTGTCCCCTCTTCTTCCAACATGGTTTTGGAAAACAAGAGGATTCAAGGAGGGGGGGAGGGCAAGACAAACTTAGAACTGGAATTATGACTTAGGACTGTGTGTAAGAATTCACAAGTCTTTAGGAAAGACTCCCCAAAATCAAAAGGCTTATCTGTCAGCCACCACACCCATACATAGTGAATTAACTCGGACCCGAGCGCATCAGGTTTGCGGAGGAAGTCACGGACTGAATAGCGGTGTGTGTAAATGAAAGGTCCCACTTCCACGCCTCGGGAATATGCGTGGCTCCCCGGAGGAGGAGAGGGTATGCGTAGCCCTCTCTTCAAGAGGTCTCAGAATTATCTTTGGAGGGTAGCGGTCCTGGGGAAGGGAGGTCCGATCTGGAAGGAACCTGGCCCTGGAGATTACACATCCCTCTTCGCAGCAGCAAAGCAAAACCCTGAGCACGCCGGTTAGCCCATCCCCGCACCCAGAGCAGCAGCGACAGCCACCTCTGCTCCCGAAACCCACGTGCGGACAGCGGCGGCCGCCACGTGGGGCTCCGCGGAAACGCCTTCGCGGAGGTTTGTCCGCCGCGCCGCCCCGTAGAAAGGAGAGCCGCCGGAGACGGCAGGAGGAAGTGCTCCAGGCAAGGGCCGCTCGCCAGAGCCTGGAACGGCCGAGGGCGGGGCGGGCGGGCGGGGGCGGGGCTTGTGCCGGCCTCGGGCGAAGAGGGCGGGGCCTGGGTCTCCCAGGGTGGGCTTAGGGCGGCGGTTGGTCGGCGCTTCCCAGCCGCGGGGATTCCTCAGCTTCTGCGCCGGAGCCAACCCCGGCCCGGCCGGCTCCCAGGTCGCCATGGAGTCCGTGCTGACCGCTGGCATCGCGATGGCGGAGGCGCTGCAGAACCAGCTGCCCTGGCTGGAGCCAGTGTGGCTCTGGGTTACGTTTCTGGGCGATCCCAAGAGCCTCTTCCTGTTCTACTTCCCCGCGGCCTACTATGCCTCTCGCCGCGTGGGCATCGCAGTGCTCTGGATCTGCCTCATCACCGAGTGGCTCAACCTGGTCTTCAAGTGGTGAGCGGCCAAGCCCCCGGCGACCTGCTCGCCCGCCCCCACGGGCCCTGAGTCCCGTGCGAGCCCTGATCGCCCAGCAGGTGCCCCAGGGGACCCCGCCTCCCGCCTCACCGGTGAACTCCGTGGCCTTAAAACCTCCCATCTTGGATTCAGACCTCCGAATCCCCAACATACTCATTAGAGTAGACCAGCTTTCTCAAAAGGCCCTTATCAGAAACCCCCCTGAAGGCAACGTTTAAAAATGCAAATACCCCATCCCACCGAAGACGTACTGAGTTAGAAACCAGCGCAAGGGCTGGGAATCCATATTTTAACAAATATCTATGGTGATTTAAGGAGCCTCTAGACCTGCTTCTCAACTCACTTTCATTCATCCAGTCACTCATTCCTTTGACATCGTTTTTAAGAAGCATGCTTTGAGACAGGCTTCGCATGAACTGCTGAGGTCAGAGAGGCTTGCCAATGAAGGTGTAGTCCCCAGAACATGACCACAGCATAGGGAGCACTTGGAAACTTGATAGAAATGTAGAATCTCAGGCCTGGGGCCAGAGCCACTGTATCAGAATCTGCATTTTAACAAGGACCCCCGTTGATTCCTGTGTACAGTGAAGTCTGAAAAGCCCTGAAATCAAGCACTGCCGTCCAGGGAGCACTTTCTCTTCTTTTTCCATTCATTCACTAGCAGGCTCTTAACACGGACTTACATGCCAGGAATCCCAGGGAAGTGGGTGGGGCTTTTGGGGCTTACCTCTGTGCCACCTGTTCTATCTTGGGTGTCAGAAGGTAGTTATACTTTTTACTGGGCGAGTAGCTGCATCTCCCTTCACCTCAGCCCTCGTTGCCAGATTCCCAGCCTGGCAGAGGGAAGGGAGGCTTATAGGAGACACTGGGCTGGGCTGGAATGTCTGGCTAAATAACGGAATTGGAGTTACCTTCCCTTGTAACTTCTCTGCAAGGCTTTCACCCCTTCTGTAAACGGAAAAGCCGTGTCTAATACTTTTCCTCTAACCCAGTGGTCGGCAAACTCCTTAGTCAACAGAGCCAAATATCAACAGGACAAAGGTTGAAATTTCTTTTGAGAGCCCAATTTTTTCAACTTAAACTTCTTCTAACGCCACTTCTTCAAAAATAGACTCGCCCGGGCCGTGGTATTTTGTGGAAGAGCCACACGCAAGGGGCCAAAGAGCTGCATGTGGCTCGCGAGCCGCAGTTTGCTGACAAGGGTTCTAACCTAATTGCCCTTTGCTCCGTGTTCTCTCCTCTTCAGTCTGTATAAGCATCCCTCTGTAGTCCTGTTCCCCTAGGAATCAGACCACCTCCTCAGGTGGACACTCCCCCCCAACTTGCCAAAACCCCCATTCATTTGCTAAGTGTGTATTGAGCACATGGTAGGTGTGAGAACAAGGCTGCGGACCCTTCTGTACTTCCCTCCCAGCTCTTGGTTTTCTGCCAGCCTCTCCTCTGCTCTCCCACCTCTTCTCTTTCTGGCCAAGCAACCTTCTCACTGGGTGATTTCACAGGGTCCGGCCAAGCATCTGCTAGGCCAGGGGATTTTGAATAGTTTGTTTTCCTTATTCTTCTTCAGCCTCCTCTGCCAATTCCCCACTCCCATTTCCAGACATAAGAAACTTACCCAAGTAATTCAGGGGGAGGTAATTCAGGTTGGAATTTGGGAAATGGGGAGAGAGGGGGAAGCAGGAGGCCCTGGGATCGCTATGGATTAGAAGAGCAGAGCTGGTCCTGTAGGGGGAGGGGTCAGAGTAGGACTTCTGAGCATCTCAGAGCATACACCCGCCCCCCACAATCTTTTACCTCCTTATCACTTTAAAAAAATATTTATGTTCTGCCCTAACCGGTTTGGCTCAGTGGATAGAGCATCGGGCTGTGGATTAAAAGGTACCAGGTTCAATTCCAGTCAAGGGCATGTACCTTGGTTGTGGGCACATCCCCAATGGGGGTGTGCAAGAGGCAGTTATTATATATATAATAACTCTCCACCCCTTTCCTCTCTCTGTGAAAAAATCAATAAAATATACTTAAAAATAAATAAATAAATAAATGTTTTAATGGTGTTAGGGGGAGAGGGAGATAGAAACATCAATGCTAAGAAAGAATCATTGATCGGCTGCCTCCTACAGGCCCCACACTGGGGATCGAGCCCACAACCCGGGCATGTGCCCTGACCTGGAATCGAATCCTGACCTCCTGGTTCATAGGTTGATGCTCAACCACTGAGCCATGCTGGCCGGGCTCCTTATCACTTTTTTAAAACAGTGTGCTTTCTTCCGCTCCAAGGTAAAGATCCATGGCAAAGCAACAGCACAGAATAGGAATCCTTTTATTTTCTTAAAAAAAAAAAAAAAAAAAAAAAAAAAAATATATATATATATATATATATATATATATATATATATATATATCGATTTCAGAGAGGAAGGGAGAGGGAGAGCAAGATAGCCCACAAACCAGGCGTGTGCCCTTTGCCAGAATCAAACCTGGGACCCTTCAGTCAGCAGGCTGACACTCTATCCACTGAGCAAACCAGCTAGGCCTGGACTCTCGTTCTGACTCTACCTCTAGAGTACCCCAGGCGTTCTGCCCCTCTCTTGTCCCCCTGGCTCTGTGTGAGCACAGTATCACCTTGCCTCTGTTCTCTTCTAGGCTCCTTTTCGGAGAAAGGCCGTTTTGGTGGGTCCATGAGTCTGGGTACTACCGCCATGCTCCAGTCCAGGTCCACCAGTTCCCCTCTTCTTGTGAAACTGGTCCAGGTACGAAGCCTCATACCTCCCTTCTCCTGTGTAGTTAGGATTTGGGGGAGTGTTTCAGAGTCCTTTTCAGCCAGGGTGGCCCAACCAAGAGGCCCACCTCACAGTTACACTGGGCCAGAGAATGAAGAAGCTCTAGGAGGACCACGTTGAATTGGAGGAGAGCACCTGTGCCAGTGCCCACCTTGTTTAGAGTAGAGCC